CAATATTACCTGAAGCCATAGTAATTGCATCTACCGATATTGGCTGTATATTTTCACCATCTGTGGCAATTATTTGCATGGAGTGTCTTTCTATTTTAATTTCAGCCAAGCAAACAGTACTAAATGCATTTATTATACGATATCTGTATTTTTTTCCGCTTTCCACTATAAACATTGACAGGGATACATTTGTGCTCACTCCCGTTAAAGGATCCTGTAAAAATCCATTTTAGATATATTTAGAAGAAAAATAAAGCAAATAAATTTAAATAAAATGAATACTGATAAAATCTTTCCATTCAAAACTTTTAGAAATTTTTAATCAAATATAAGTTTCCTAGCTACAATTGAGTGAATCAACATATATTTGTAAGAATGTATTTTGTTATGTTCGCTAGAATCGGCTCTTAAGTTCTAGCGGAATCGAGCCGCCTTTTTGATAGGAGCGAAGCATTCTCCTAGACAATACGTCGTTATTGTTCAATGTCGCTATTACTTTATGACTAGATGGACATATGCTTCTTTCTATTTCTCTCTATTTTGAAGTCGAATAAAGTCTTGTGATTCTTTTAATGATGGTGTACTTTTCTTGCGCGAATGACCTTTTTCGCGTGCTCGATTCGTGTACGTAAAACCGTTGCGTACTATAACAATGTAGTAATTTTTTTAAATTCAAGTATCTTGAAATCAAGAAAACAGAAAAAATTTTTAGAATATTTTCATTAAACAAATTGAAATATTTATAAATTTCTCTAGAATAATAATGCAAATTTCTCTAGAATAATATATATTTCTTTATTATATAAGGTTTTTGAAGAGTCTGGAAACGATCGAATATCTCGAAAACAAAGCTTTTTTGAGAAAAATATTTCAAACAAAAGTTGTAGAATTCAAAAAGATATATTTATCTTATCAGTTTCATCTTAAGTTGCGTTGTCAAGGTCATATAGAAGTCTTGTTTTTTTAAATAAAAACATCCGTTTTTTTATTATATATTCTTGTAGCTGATCTCGAGAGCTCTGCAAAACATTATAATAGAGTATCTTTTTAGTAACTACTTTCTGAGTTATGAGACTTGAATTTGTAAATTTCATTCATTTTTTGAACTATATCTTAATATTTATAGGCATAGAATAATGAGATAAATCAATTGTGTAAGAATTGGTGTAAAGAAAATACTAGTTGCTGTTTTAAAAACATGGAGATTTGCAATATGCAACGACCTATCTTCTTTAAAAAACTACTATATATTTTCTTTATTCCAATTGCTTCATCTCATTAGTCTGTGAATAAAAGTGTTACGTCCAAGCTTCGAAAGCAAGAATTCGACTTAACTGGTGAAGCTGGAAAGGACGCTCGGAATCGTTTGTTTCCTCCGTATTTTTCTCTCTTGGAGAGCGATATTGAGGTGTCGACCTGCGAATCGAATGCACTTTTCGTGCATGAGGTAACGTCAAATATGCTATAACACCCGCCTGTGCCAGTGCGGTCGTTGATCCATTTTTAGATCAGAGAAGTTAATTTCTTTAATATGGGATAGAACCTCGTGCGATCTTTTGGTAGCGAGGAATGAGAGATGGTTAATAAATTACAGATATATACAAAGAAGATTCGTTGTAAATGAAGGCATGGCACAAGTGTAGTTTTGTGTAACAGATTACTGATTCAATTAATATAAAAAAATTTAATTAACAATAAATTTTAAATAACAAAAATTACAATTCCGGTTAACATTTGAAAAATGAATTCGGGATATTGCAAGAAAGTTACAAATTCGACTTATATATGAAGACTACGAGACGTATATGCATCAATGTATATGTGTGTGTTTGTTTGTATGTGTGTGTGTGTGTGTGTGTGTGTGTGTGTGTGTGTGTGTGTGTGTGTGTGTATGTGTGGTATCGATAACTACGGAATTATTCAACGTTGAAAATTTTAACGATGTTATAAGGACGAGAGGGGGAGAAAAGGAGAGGCTGAAACCTACGCCGATTTATGGATCGTGTGCGCAATTACGACTGAAACGCGGCAGACAGGTTTTACTGCAAACGACCAGTCGACCAATCGCAGGGCGCGTACGAAAGGCGTGCGTGAACGTCGTGGTTCGATTAGAATTTCTAATGAAACAAGCTGTAGTATGCGCGCTTATACGCGTCAGAAACGCGTAGCCGTCTTGCTAAGTCGCATTGGATATAAATATTGCTCACGTATTCCGTGAGCACTTTTCCACATTTTCACGCGGGTATCGTGCACCATCAGTTGCTTAGCTTGGCATCAAAAAAAGCAAACAGTTGATTTTTTTTAATATTTTGATAACATTATATAAAAAATATATAAAAAATTTATATATAAAAAATATAATTATGTTATAACTTAAAGTCCTAGAAAATTTTAGACTGATTCGCTGAAATCCTATCGCTACTTCAATATAACATAATATTATACATAATATTATACAAAATTTTTAAAAAGTATTCCAAATACACTTATTTAAAATTATAATAACAAAATTTATATTACACACACACACACACACACACACACACACACACACACACACACACACACACACACACACACACATATATATAT